AAGTCGATAAATATCGATAACAAAAACTATAAAAATATCCATAACAAAAGCGATAAATATCGATAACGAAATCGGTAAATATCGATAACAAAATTGATAAATATCGATAACAAAATCGTTAAAAATTATCGCCAACAAAAAGTTAAAAATATCGATTACAAACCCGATAAAAATGTCGGTTGTTATATCGATAAGTTCCGAAAATATAGATAGCAAAATTAACAACAATATCGATTAAAGTTTCGATAAATAAATCTATAAACAATCGATAAATATCGATAATAAAACCGATGAAAATGTCGATTATTTTATCGATAAGTCTCGAAAATCCCGAAAATCTTTAAAATCCCAAAATAGTTCCCAGATGAGTCTCTGTGTCTCTCTCTATATCCTTTCCTCTTAAATTACCTTTATTTTAATCTTTCTTCTCCTATCTTCATCTTTACTTTTATCGGTATCCTCATCCTCCTCTTTGTCTTTACTTTTACGTTTATCATTTTCTTCATCTACATATTCTCCTTCACCTTTGCCCTTATATACCTATATAAGTAAAGTGTTTAAAATTACCTTGGTCTTCATTTTTGCCTTTATCTTTGGTTTTATTTCTAATTTTACCTATATCCTTTTCTTTATTTATGTACGTAGTCACCTTTACTATCATTCTTGTATTGGTCTTCTTCTATTCTTTAACCTTTTATTAGCAAATTTTTGTTAAACTAATACCATATGCATACACACAATAAGCACTTGTTTCAGCCCCAACCATTTCCGTTGCACCATTTCCGTGTGCAATTTCCATTGAATTTGCCAATTTACTCCCAACCAACCAACCGCCGCTAAAGAAGTTTCACTTCAAAATTAAAAGAAAATACGGCCTTTTTGAATTATTTTTTGCAAATTTTATTATAAATGCAGTATAGGTACAATGAAAAAGAGAGACTAGTTATTAAGCACAAGGTTGGTTGAGTTTATTTTTAGTTAATTTACTATTAATCTCCAGTTTGTTTACTTTAGTGTGTGATGGTTGCCGTATGACATTTTTCGTTAGTACCCTAATTTTCCTTGACATATACATACCAAATGCAGCATGTTGAGATGCTTTTTTGCTGAAGTTGTCAGTTTTGGTAGATTGATTGTTGAAATGAAAATTGTATAATTTTAAAGGTACATTTGTAGCTATATTTATTAATTTTTTTGGATCAATGATGGGTGATTGGAGTAGGTTCTCTTTAGTTTGAATGCGTCATCGTGTGGTATCACAAATACTTTTGATAAAAATAACTTATTCATTCCGATATACATAATTAAATTGTATTTTAAAAAGGTGTTTCTTATCCAAAAGTATTCAATAGTATAAAATCTCAAATCGGGGAAAATGTACCAAGCAGAAAATAAATTGCCAAATGGACCACCAGTAGCAACTGTGGAAGTGATCAGCTGTTTCGAAGGTTGCAAAATTTGCGTTCTCCTACTTCTGTGGATATTTTGTCTCTTTGAGAGCGAATGCTGCTAAACTGTCAGAACTTTTGCTGCTAGATAATTTTGTCCGCTCAATACCATACCTATCACCAGAGTTATCTAATATATCGTCATCAATCGGCAACATGTGTATTAACTTTTTCGGCTACCCAATACTAGTTATCTTTGAAATGGTGCTTATATACATAAATAAGTATATGAATTAAATCCCATTGATAGAAGCATTCTTCGTTTCACCTAAAAATCTATAAAGCCTTCTGCGTAGTACAAATATAACAGGAATTTCCTTTGTCGCAGACACATAACACAAGTTATGTATTCAGTTGTTAGTTTAATTTTAGAAAAACTCACATTTATGTATAAATAAATCTTTTAGGCGTTATTGCGTTTTTATTTTTTAGTTTATTGATTTGCGTAATTGTCCTTTTGTTTGTGTTGACAGTGGCGGCGATGATGACGACGAAGTACGTACAACAACACATACATAAATACATTTATGCATAGCGCCGAGCAGACAACAAAGGTCAGAACAGGTCACAATGAAAGGGCGTCGTCCTTGTTGTGATACATAAAGTAGACGAGTTTACTTAGTACCGATTACACAAACTTTTAGCTGTAATATGTATTGCAATTTTTTGTATGCCTTTAATGAACATGAAATGGTATTATAACTTTGGTCCGAGCTGAGTCGATTTAGTCATATCCCTCTGTCGTTTTCAAGATATCCTACTGAAATTTGGTAAGCGCGTTTTTTTTATAATGTATTAATAATTTGTTGGAATCGACAAATTACTTTAAGGTAGCTAAAACCGTGAAATTTTGTGAGCTGTTAAATAATTACTCATTCATGATCTACTGAGAAAATCAGCAAGACCTGTTCTCCATAAGGTTTGTCTCCCATATAGGGCAACAAACTTTTCAGATGCTCAGAGCCCGAGATTGAAAAATATAATTCTTATTTTTCATTTTTTTTTTTTTGTTCTTATTAACATTTCTTAATAGAACTTTAACCCTGGCCCTGGCCGCTGTTGAGTCAATTAACATTTTAATTGAGCTACCGCTTGTTGGTGTTCACACACCGTTCGTTTCACAGTATCTCTATTTTACAGTACAGTATTTTTTAAACAGGTTTTCAATAAAATAAAGGAGTTCCTGTCTTCCTGTTTTACACCCCGCGACAAAATAATACGATCTTTCCGATACGATTTTGGCAATATGAATCCAAATTTCTATCTTAGTACAAAAATTGTGTTCTAGTGAGCAGTGCAGCTATTAAATTTTCACACAGCATAGAGGACCAGGTAGTGGTCATTTCTGCATACTTAACTCGATTTGGTATTATTGCAGATTATGATACTATTGAAGTAAATGTGCGATATGTAAGTTTCTTTTGAGTAAAAATTAAATTATTGCAGGAAAACAAACAAAATTATAGAAACTAAACTTTTCCCCAAGCTCTGAGATTTTTGTGGCAAGTCCTTACCACTTATTGTTCAGATACATGTTTTTGCTATATAACTTATTTAATTTGGCAGCTAAAGCCATAAAATTCTATGACCAGTTTACTTTTCGATTATACAGGGCCTACTGAGGACCACTAATTATTCAGATATGATTTTTTGTTATATAACTTGTCAATCTTAATTGTAAAGATCCAAAAGCCTTTTCCTCTATTTGTTTATCATAAATAAAAAACAATTTTCTGCTGCTCATGAAAGGCCTTCGGCATGAATTTTTCGGAATAGGCGAAGTCAGCGCTGCCCTTACTTACATTTTCCTATTCAAAATGCAAAGTGAAATTTTCTGTAGTCATAACCTATGTAAGCATTTTATGCGAATGTATTCAAATAAATATACCTATGGGATTTTCGTTTCTCTTTTCGTGTTCGATTCTATAATAAAGACAAACTGTGAGAAAATTGTGTGTGTTCCTTTCATAAAATGTCACACTCTTGTAACGAAAGAAAATACACATTCTCTGCCCTTTGAAACTTTGTCAGGGGAGATGGTTGCCCTGAAAAATGGGTTGAGTGTAACATCAAACACATTTTGCTCCGTTGAACAACATGAACGTTTTTTGGAAGAAACGAAATCACCATAGACAACCATGAGTTCTATCAAAACCAGGCACAGGCGGCCTGATGACTTTCGAAATAACGAATTTATACCTTTCTTTATCAATGTTCGATGCATACTTTGAGGCGTTTAAACTTAATGAAAACTTCACATAAACTCCCGCTCGCCATCTCTTTAAACTCGATGTTCCTATTTTCATTTTATTTACCAACTACCCTTTACCCGAATACTCGGTTCTTGGCTGCGGAAATTTAACAGCTTTGACTACGCCTGCAATCGGATCGATAAAGTCGTCTCGCCATTCCCCATGCTTATGTCGCGTTTATATACATGTAGATATGTATGCACGTACCTACATACATATTTATGTACATTTGATTTTGAGTTGAAAAGAAAAATCAAAGCAGCCTTGGATTCGCTACCTTACGTACAAGTCAGGGTGTCTCATGCGGGCGCTGAGTCGATATTTGGGGGATGTGGACGTAGTATGTTAGTCTGCTGCGAAATCCAGGATAGATAGGGTGTGGCAGAGCAGCCAACGCAGCAGCAGCAGCAGCAGCTGAGGCAGTGTTAGTAGTACACATAGTTCGGGTTGTTGTTGTACAATGCAACGCACAGAAAGCATTCAACCCCGTCGTTCGAGACTGCCGCAGCAAATTTGCTGTTAAGGTGAGTTGGGGTACCGGAGAACTTTAGACGCCAACAGCCATACGGACAAAGGCTTAGTAAACTGCTACAGCACATACGGCCCGTAGAACGCACCAGAGTGCCAGAACCATCACTGAACGCCACTGTCACCATTCATTGCACTTCGGTTGCAATTGTAATTCGCTGACAGTGTACCACTTCGTTTCCATGTATGTATGTATGTATGTATGCATGTCAGAGTGTGTGCAGGTTTTATAAGTAATAAGGTGCGTGGGTTGAATGGACGCTTGTGCCGTGCCGGTGCTGCTGCAAAACGTTTGCAAAACTTGAATGACGGAATAGAAATGGGATTGTTCCTGCAGCAACGTTCAACGTTTGTCCGCTCGTCCAGGGTTTTGCCCGGTGAAGCTTTGTCGATATGTACGAATAACTACATTCGTACGACGTTGTACGACGAGTATATAACACAAATACTGTTATGTTGTATATCGACAACTGAAGTACTCATCCTTAAGTTTGGGTCTGTCTAGACGCGTGCAGTTGGCGTTTTGTTATGGGGAAATGACAAAGTTGGTCATAGCGGCAGGGGTGAGAAGGTCAGCAGACAGGCAAGAAACAAAAAAAAAACAAAAACAATTCAGTTAGTGGTTTGAGGGTAGACACGTGATGCCAAAGAACTTGAAGGCGTTCACACGATGACCCTGCGCTCTCACTAGCTTTGCAAATGTTAAGAGATGTTAAAAAATTGTCCACCGACACTTTATTGAACATTTGTTCCTTTTTTTCATGCTACTTAGGCTATCTTTTGACCAGAGTGGAGGGTAAAATTGGTTCGCCGGAAAAACCACTTTCGGACTTGGGTTTAATTTCATATCGCTCCTACTGGAAAGATGTACTTTTGGACTATCTCTGTAGCCGAACCGGAAGTGCTTTGAGCATCAAGGATGTATCACAGGTAATACTTACATTAGGGCGGAGCAATTTGTTCGGCGCAAAATTTTCGATGAAAGTATATAGTAAATTCAAGTTCTACGATTAATTCTAAGCAAAAATGGCGAACAAATAATATACCAAAAATTACGTTTGACCCTCGCAATTTTCAAAAGAAAAAGCAGTATATTGTAACTTTTTTGTTCGAAATTTATTTTTCTTTTATTTTTTAATTATTTTTCTCGGTCTTAAATATGAAGAAGCCACACAAATATGTAAATGCAAAATTAATTTCGTACATAAAAAATTATAATACACTGATTTTTTTTTTTTAATTGGGAGAGTCAAAAGCCATTTTTGATATATAGTTTGTTCACCATTTTTGCTTAGAATTGAACGTAGAATTCGAGTTTGCAATACACTTTCTTCGAAATTAAATTACTCCGCCCTAACGTATGTAGATACATATGTACATATTTTTAAATATTTTTTCTTCATTTGTGATCCAAACTGCATCTCCTACATATAATTTTTCTGCATATTATCTACAGGAAACGGCTATATATTCATATGACATCGTTAGCACCTTGCAGGCTTTGGGCATGATGAAATACTGGAAAGGCAAACACATTGTACTTAAAAAACAAGTAAGTATAACTTTTCATTCCAAGTTATGTAAAATAATGCAGTCGAATTAAGATCATCCGAAGTCTTTTTAAGATGGCAAATTCTTTCTAAATATAGCGAGCCTAGTCGCAGGGAATATGAAACATGACTAGCAGGACTGAGGGGGTGGTTGAACTGTCCTCCCCATCTTGAAATGTAGGGTAGTCAGCCCAGCGCTCCAACTCCGAACGACAGCCATTTTACGATCTCAACCAAACTATGCGTTATCGTTAGTGTTTGGGTGATTGACTCGTTTTTCCCAAAGCAGTTTCCGCCGGTTTTTTCTTTGATAGCTATAGGTGTGTTTTTTTTTTAATCTTTACTTCTCGAATATCGAATAAACCAGATTTTTTTTTATCGACCAAACCGGATTTTCTTATTTCATACAAATCTTAACGTCTCAATAAAAGCTTTGAGTTTTTCGAAGTTTTCAAGGCATTTTCAAGTTTAAGGGAAACCCTTTAAAATTATATCCTAGGTATTTGAGGGATGAACAGTATATCTTATTTGATTCCAATAAATGAGTGTTTAGCACCTAAAAGTTTTCTACGCGTTTGGCCGAGCTTCTCCTTCAATTCGGGTTCTGCTTCTTGATATTGTGACACAAATGGAGAGATTTATACCTTTACTCCACCTCCGTAGAAACTTTTTTATGGCAGTAGTACACTCGCGAGGTTTGCAATTGTCTGCCGAGGCGCGACCGCTGATTGAGTAAACTTTTTTTTGTTGTTGCAGGGACGAGAAATTGAACCATGGGTCTCCCGACTTAAATTAATTTTTTCAAAATCGCAAATCTGTGGTTAGGAAGAAGATACCACAATGAAACTTTTTGAAGTTTGAAGCTAAATAAGACATAGAATATCGGAAAACTATTGAGAAATCGAAAAGTAGCGCTTCAACACCAGAAAGATCGTTCAAAAATGTCATATTTTTGGAAAACGTACGTTCGTAACTTCTTCACCCTGAAACTATTAACTTCAATCTTCTTCCTAATCAAAGATTTACGATTTTGAAAAAAAAGAACCTAGGTTTTGCACACTGTGCGGCGGAAGGAGCAAAAAAGTCAGAAAAAATGCAATAAAGCATTAAAGAAGTTATAATAAGATTTTTATTGGTTTTAATTTTGATCTAAAAAGCTTTGAAATTATTTTGCTTTGCTCTTTTCTAAATAAAAGCTATCTTTACTGTTAACAGTTTTATTGTAATTTTTCGTCATGACTTCATGCTGGTGCATTTTCACATTATGAAAACTATGTAAAATAAAACCGGTTTATCCCGTTTTTTCTTAATTTCAAGTTTCAGTTTTGAAAAAACGCTAATAATCGAACACCCTAGTAAGTATACATATGTACATATGCCGGTGGTAACCAAACTTCAAAAGGAAGTTGATCCACCTAATCACAATCATTTTTACAAGCTTTCATTCAGTTTCACTTGTGAGTAATCAAATAATGCAGTCAATTTTTAACCAGCTTGCCTATGAACTAGAGAGTTGAAACTTCAAATTTAGGTCAAGACCGGATGACAGTGCAATTTAAAGAGGAATTAGGCGGTGCAGGTGCCAAGATATTTCAAAAATTCATATTTAGAATGTAAATTGAACTAGCCGGCTTCGTATGCGCGAGGCTTCGCCGCGCGTTGAATGTGATCTTATAATTTTTTAGACAGGCGGCAACTCTATTCAAAAAAAAACCTTATTGCGCATCTGGAGGCCTAGTCCTTTCATTTAGCACTTCACTTTTTATTCCAACGAACAGCCCACATCTTGGAATTTTCCCCATAGGTGGCATTCCTCTTCTAAAAAATAAAACCTTATTGCAAATCTAAACGACACCTCATTTTTGAAAACTGAAAGAACTGCGCAAATCTTATGTCATTAACAAAAAAATCCTTTGGGTATTATATATAAGGTACTAATTTTTGAATAGGTGGAAACCCTTGGCATCTAATTTTTCAGTCCAACGAACGTTGAAGATCTCATTATTTTTAAAAAGGTGGCAACCCTACTCCATAAAGAATACGTTATTGAACATCAAGAGGCTAAGCCCTTTTATTTTACGCCCTTTTATTTGACAAAAGCTTGCCCGATAGATGGCGCACGACTCGAGATATTTGGAAAATACGTATTTATGATCGGATTTGTTTCATATTTAAAATGTACAGTAGAATTGCAGAAATGTTAACTGGCGCAAAAATTAATCGCTCGGCTAAGTTAACCGAATTTCAGCGTTCACGTTCCGCTCTAAAAAGTTATCTCTTGGGCTAACTTTTCTGAGCTTAAACAGTTTTCAAGGCCTCCACTTGCTTGACAACAAAAACAACCCCGAGCTCAATTTGATTAGGCGTATTCCCCGAATTTCTTTTTGTCGTTTGCGTTTGAATTTGTGAGTTGTGTATTGTTTGTTTAAAAAATGTCAACAAAGAGGAGAAGGTAACTGCCAATCAGATTAAATCTACATCAAAAAGCTGAGATTGAAAGAAAAATTAATCGAAATTTTTACGTAAATCGATTGGCGTTAGATTATGGTGTATCTAAAGCGGGCATATCAAAAATTAAGAAAAAACGTTATGAAATTTTGGAGACTTTTTTTAATTGGATTTCCTCGAAAGATTCTGAGTATACAGTTTTGTAGCCCAATGAATTCTAGTAGAACAAAGTACAAGTCTCAAATGGCTAAAAATTACGGTTGATTTTATATAATTTTTTTTTGTCCAGGAATTTTTTGGTTTTCCTCCATATAATTATAAATCGTGAGTATTCATTGTATGGAAGCAAATGGGACAAAAAAATCAACTGTAATTGTTAACCAATTGAAACTAGTACTTTGTTCTACTAGAATTCACTGGGCTACAAAACTCAGAATCTTTCTTGGAAATCTAACTAAAAAAATTACTTCAAAACGACTTCAAACGCAATTCTTAGGATACCTATAGCAAGATTTAGCCACAATAATTCCTGCTTGAATGGGGTCTTTTGAAGCGTTAGAAGAAATGGCCGTCTGAGGTAGGTTAGGTTAGGTGGATGGGGCTGCCAGCATACCAAGGATCGTATTTATAGACCCGTAGTGATACCACGTGGATCGCTAAGGCCCCTCCTACTCAAACCATCGTGTGGAATCTGTGTATCCTAAAAGTTGCCGTATTCCTACTTTAACTATGTTACTTAAACTCTCAAAAAATTTCTGAGTCCATGCACTTTCTTTATCTTCTACAAAGGTGCCTAGAAATTTCCGGCGCTTCATTTCTGCGTCCTCTGCAGAAGTCGTTATGGGGAAACCCTTAACCTCTCCTCGTTGCTTTCGATGGCAACATGACCTGTTAGCAGGCCCATGGCTGCGGCTAAATCACTTCTGCCCAGCATGAGTAGACCTTTCGACAGTTTATCCTTGCATTCCGGCCACATAAGTTTCTTCTTGCTGCCAATCTATCCCTTGCTAGTTTAAAAGATATAACCCTTAGAATAAGCTTGCTGATATCGAGCGGCATGCTAAACCCTTCGAGGATTTCGAAAGTGGAAAGGATGTGTTGAATCTTGCAAGTTTGTCCGCCTAGCGGTTGGCGACGGTTTTGAATTGCATGTGGCCGAATCAAGGGCTTTAAGTGCCGCCTAAGTAGATGAAGATGCTGTTACCTATGACTTCTCCTATACATTAGTAGTCTAACGTCTCATGCATTGCAACAAATTCAGCTTGAAAGACGCTACAGTGGTCGGGTAGGCGAAATGTTGATCTGTTAAAGCTCCCGTGTTGTTGATTTCTTGTTGGGACTTGGCTACCAGACCACGGCTCCGTATAGATTACTCTCTTGCTAAATCCTTCAGACCGATAAGTCATCCCTTTCATGCTGAAAGCAATGGAAAAAGATATCCACCAGGAAATAAGGTCTACTACTATGAAACAGGTACCATTGTATCCCGATCAATACGCGTACAGAATAGGAAGATATACATACATCGCGTTATATAAACTGAAAGGAAAATGCGAAGTGGCTTTTAGTGTGGAGAAGCAGGCTCTGCGTCTTCCTCGACATTCAGGAGGCTTTCGATAACACATATCATGGGGGCCGTCGATCGGTCACTTGAGAAACGCAATGTGCAACCAACACTCTTGCAGCTACTCACCGAAAAAGGCGTCCGGTTTTAAGGGTACGCGGATGACATAGTAATTATTGCTGGAGGATAGTTTGCGAGCACTCTCTGCGATATCGTTCAAAGACTACTAAACCTAGAAAACAGGTGGTGTGCTGATGTGGGACTTAATATTAATTCCTCAAAGACAGTCATTGGCTCTTTCACTAGGAAGAAAAATCACATGGGGATGGCGAACTTAGTCTTGGATAGGGTCGAGGTCAATGTCGTCATTTCTGTGGAGGAGTAGTGTAGACACGGCCACCTTCAAGGCTACAAGAGCGCTGATGATGTGCAAATGTCTTAACTGCCAAATCCTGAGGATGCACCCCAAGGCTTCTGAGATGGATGTACACCATGATACGTTGACCAATAGTAACACATTGGCAATGGTAAGGCAGTCACTTACGAAAAATCAACGTCTGGCGTGTGTTTGCATCACGAGGGCTATGCTAGGGGTAGACATAGTGTATAGTGTAGCTGACGGTACAATAGATTTACTGGTCGCAGTGTATACTCTATTTATCCATCTTTCTTACTCATAAGGTACGGCCACATAGGAAGCGGTTTGTCGCGACCGGAATGTTTGTCTTAACTTTAGTCTTAATGTTATTCTTAATTGTTTCCAAGTATCCCCGTCATCCCCTCCCTTCTTCTGTAGCTTTTTCGATTCTGTAAGTTTGGAATTAGAGTCCAACGCCTTTTCGTCTCATGTATGTTTGTATTTACACCAACCGAGCGCAAAAAAGTTTCACTTCAAAAAGTTGTGAGATGCAGCCAAATTCATTTGGGGTTTGGCTGCCAATATAAAAACCAACGTTAAGGTCCTAAGTTGGAGTGTGCAAGGAAAAACTCTAACCACCCTTGTTTTCAAGATGTCGGCGGTTCCACAATAACCTGAGTCACGCAAATCAAGTTTTATATTAACTGGTATTGGCTTCACAGTACTCTTTTAAGAATCGGACATCATGCAAAAAACTTGCCTTTATTAGTTGTATGCAATATTAAATTTGATGCTATATAATTTGGAATCTCATTTCTTTATCCTTGTAGGAAGTGCTCGATGAATATGAAAAACGTGTGAATCAAAGAGGAAATTTTCCGAAAATCGATGATAGCTGTCTGCGCTGGAGTCCTTTTGTGCCAACACAAACCAATAACTCTCCATAATAGTAGGCTATAAGTTCACGTACGGAGACGATAGTTATCATCTACGTACACTGAATGCAAATATGTAGTTTACTTAACTACTTTGTGTATTTATTTTAAGAATGCACATGTATATGTGTATGTATTTATTTATGGAAATGTGGTGTCAGGTGTAAAAATGATTACTCCATTGTTGATGGTTCTAAACGCCCAAAATACTTATACTATATATGTACATAAATAGTACCAATCACACTTATGTAGGTGCCCTGAAGTCTCAAACATTTCATAAAAAATGCGAACAACACTGGAATTGTCTTTTTTTATACCTGGCATCACTGATAACTATGCTTTATGGCTGCTCGCAGCTTTCAATCAATTACTTGAGTATATACCGAATTCGTCTTTTAAAAACAGTACTCATTTTTTGTATATACTTATGATATTAAATAAATGCTACACTTTTAAGATGTTTTGTATAGCTCGTGTGGCAGGTCGAACACACGACTTTGCTTCATATTTTTAACAAATATGTATTTGTATGTACATACAAGATATGTATATAGCTAAATTAAAAATTCTTATTGTAAAATTTTCTCAAACATTTATAGAATTTATTAAGTATAAAAAATATATGGTTATTAAATAAATGGTGTAATATTTAACTTTTTATAGAACACATTCTGACATTTTTATTTTGCGTACATCAAACAATATTTTCTCTTAAAAATGGCCTTGAAAGGAATTTCTCCGAGCAGTTGAAGCCAAACCTATGTTTTAACCAATGTTTATGCCCCTTTACAAAGGAGGGATGCTATTGGAATTCCTACACTTGAAATTCCTTTGGAAATAAGAAACAATTTCCCAATAAGTTATTTGGCTACGTTCCAAGTGTACCTAAAATTACGTTCTTATACCAAATTTTAAGAGGCTGAAGAGAAGGTACAATACTATCTAGTTTTACATCTTTGTTCCTCTTCATCTTCTTCTTAAAAATTATTCTTTACTCTCTCATTTCTTTCTTTCTCTTTTATGCTGTGCATCGTATTGAAATGTTATGTTAATTCTATGCTATGTCATGTTTTGCTATGCATGCTTTCTTATGGATTTTTCTTATATTTTTATTTTATTTTATTTTATTTTATTTTATTTTATTTTGTTTTATTTTATTTTATTTTATTTTATTTTATTTTATTTTATATTATTTTATTTTATTTTATTTTATTTTATTTTATTTTATTTTATTTTATGTTATTTTATTTTATTTTATTTTATTTTATTCGATTTTATTTTATTTTATTTTATTTTATTTTGTTTTATTTTATTTTCTTTTATTTTATTTTATTTTGATTTCTCCTTCAAAATTATTCTGTACTCTCTCATTCTCTCTCCTTTGTATTCTATTATTCTTGCTATGCGATGTTATGCTGTATATCGTATGGAAATGTTATGTTAATTCTATGCTATGCCATGTTTTGCTATGTATGCTTTCTTATGCATTTTTCTTTCATTTTATTTTATTTTACTTTATTTTATTTTGTTTTATTTTATTTTATTTTATTGTATTTTATTTTATTTTATTTTATTTTATATTTTTCTTTTCTTTTCTTATCTTTTCTTTTCTTTTCTCTTCTTTTCTTTTCTTTTATTTTCTTTTCTTTTCTTTTCTTTTCTTTTCTTTTCTTTTCTTTTCTTTTCTTTTCTTTTCTTTTACTTTAATTTTATTTACTTTAATTTTATTTACTTTTCCTCTATTTGGGCCAAATACTGTCATATAGTGTACATAGGAGCTCATACCTTTAACGTATAGTTGAAGCTAGGTGAATATTCGATAATTTTCATTTATGATTGATCAGACTGCCCAATTGGAATATTGTTAATGGAAATGACAATGCTGATGGCGAAAGCTCGGACGCTAGAACTTCCGCTTCGCTTGGTGATCCAATATTTCATTCGATTTTACATATTACATATATTACATAATACAATTTTCCAAACTAATATTTTGCTATAATCAAAGATTTTCATGCAAACAAAGATACACATGTACGTATAGTTACTTGTATATGTGCTGGTACGTAGTACAAATGTTTTCAAATCTTCATAGCTAAGATCTCTCGGCATAACAAAGGAAATTTAGATTCGTCTAAGAAGCCACTCTTAAATGCTTCTCAGTCTGTCTGAAAGTGCTTTTGTTTGCAATTTTAAGAATGAACATTAAAATGAATCACTCACTACTGGCGTACAAACTACCTACAAAATAATGGGGATTGATAAAGGTTCGACACCAAAGGAAATATGGTGTATATATGGGAGTATGGTGTTGTTGTCTCCCGGAAAATATGCAGCAACGAAGACTAGTTCTATGGGCCTTCCATCACCTGCACTGCTACCAAATCTTGCGTTAAGAGCTCAGCAATGCAGGAACAATCAATATCTTTTCTAAGCACTACACATACTCTGGGCATCTCTGCGGCGAGGTCCCATATTACCTTATTGTGTGATCCTTTTAGACCCCTTACCTGGCCTCTGTAAGTCCACGGCTCTTGAATAAGTATGATGCTCAGATCGTCCGTAGAAAACCTGCTAAGAATTACAGCCGAGGCTGCAATCGCATGGTTCATCTGGGCTACTTTCAAGGGCGGTGGGCGCCTCATCTGTGCTTTGTTTCTATGGATCTGTTTCTTTGGATTGCCTCTGCATCGGAGAGGATTTTTCATCGTGCCCTGCGCGATCTTCTGGCTGCGATGCCCGCTCCCCCGCTTGTCCGCAGGCGCGGTCTGCTTACGCCATTGCTCATCATCGCTTTTGCTGTCTTCTTTGGGGTTGGCTCTCGCAAGTGCCATTTTCGGGGCCTCTTCGGGGATCTTGCCCAGTTCTAGGTACCTCACGTATCGCCTGGAGTCTGATCCGCGAATCTCTCCAGAAAACTTCTTCGGATTAGATTGTGCCGGGGTACCCTTGCCGTTCTATGTTGTAGTTGTCTGCTGTTTTTATTTTTGTTCTTTGTTCTTGTTCATACGACTGCGTCTTATTTTCGTCTAAGGAGGCAATTGAACAGTACTGCCCTCTCTTCTCGGCGTGTGATGGCGTGTATTGAAGACCATGGACCCGCTGGAGATAGCAGAGGAAGCGAACGACCTTCACTGAGGTGGAGTGACCAAGTGTAATAGGGTTTATCTTCTCCTGGAAATCCTGGACATCAGTTGGGACGAAAGAGAAACGACCAAAAGAGGAAGAAGTTCTAAAATCAGGTCGTGGTTACTGTTTTAGTAGTTGGTATAATCAACGTAGTACTGGTAGCTTTCGTCCGACAATCTCTCAACGGGAATTATATAAGAATAAAACCCTGTGGAACGTTCTGGCAAAGAACAAAGTCTAAGGAACGCTCTCTCGAAGGACAACTTGGGAACTAAATCTCAGAAACTTTCTGCTTCGAACTTTGCGTAAGGAATGGAAGCGAGAACGAGAAAAAAACTGAAAGATAATTATACAAATTACGTCAACGAAAGACTTAGGACACGAACTTTTCTTGAATGGAAAAATGAATTTTTTTCCCTAGTTGGACAGTTTTGGTTTAGAGTTAACAATCATTGTTCCCACTGAAGCGATTTTTCATCCCAACAAGCAGATGCCCCTCTCATTCTTAACGTTAAGTTCTCAACACTTTTGTTCTCGTTTTGTTCTCTAGCACAATGTTCCCCAGACTTTTGTTCTTAATGGATCCTGCTTGAAAATGTTCTCGATAATTTCGTTCCCAATTTGTTCCCATTGGCAACGTTGCCAAAAATTTCTTATTTACGAAAACGATGCCAAACCTTTATTTCCCAGTCTATCATTATTTTTTGGTCCCGTTTGGTTCTTTTGTGGGAACGTTCTTGACATTGCATTTCGTTCTCGTGCAGAACTAAACAAAAACCGGAACGCGTTCTCCTTCCCTGATAGAAAAAAACAGATATTTCCACAGAGCAAGCGTTACCTTTAATTATGAAAGCACTGCGCCTATTGTAGGTTTAAGTCACAATTAACTGAAGTTTTTGGATTCCCCCTTTTAAAATTTTATTGCTGATGCTCCCTCTTCATAGGAAGGCATTACTTTCAACCGAAACTCTGTGGATACCCACTAAAGTTACTTATGCATTTTATATGTAGGTATGTATGTATCTATGCACCTAAATGGATATGCAACTATATAAGCACAGAAAGCCTCATACATATATACATCAGGTTGATCCTTAAAATCAAATGAACGATTTTTTCAGTATCAAAACCTCAACCGGTAATAACATAGTCGAAGATATCCTATATAAATTTTGGTCCCGATTAGAGTCGATTAAGGCATGTCGCAAAGGGATTAAAGGCCAGATGCCTCTATGGACTCAAAACAATAAAAATATTTTTTGTAATTTAATACCTAAAATCGATACTACTAAAGTCGTGGATATCATTGGAGTCGGTTAAGACGTCTTCATAGGGTAATGTGAACTTTGACCCCTGTGAGACCCGCCTTAACCGTCTCCAATCGGGACCAAAATGTATATGTGGTATCTACGACTATAGTAGCATCGACGTACGGGTTTAGGCATAGGAAATCTGGTGTAAAAATTTGCTTCCTACATTTAACCCTGAACGGGTAATCTTCGTCGATTCGAAGAACACTGTTGCTCCTTTTCCATTTTTCTCGCCATTGGACTGAAGAGAGAATTGCTCTAAAATATACAAAAAAGGTTAAATAATAAGTAGCCTCTGTTTTCTTTCTTGTTAAGGTTCATTATTATTAAAAGTAGTTTGCCAACCTTGTATGCAACATTTTTCATAAAAAAACTGGGAGATAAAAACGACTTCGTCGATTCGACGAAGATTACCTGTAACGTATGAAAAATAATGTTACCCTTTAAGGGTTAAGGACCACCCTAATGTACATACGCGTGGAAATATTCGTGCATAATCGGGTTTTCGGCGCTTGCTCACTACCATATCATAAATACACGCAACAGCAAAAGCATCAGAACCAGAAAGAGCAAACTTAAACACCCTAAGATTATGGTCATAACATCAGCCGTGATGGTTATGGTTATGGTGACGATGACGAGGACGATGACTGAGTGGCTGATGGCTGATGACTGAGTGGCCAAGACCGAGCCGGTGACTGAGACGGAGACGGTAACAGCAACGCTGCGTCGACAGTGGCAGTGGCAATGCGCCGTTGGCATTTGTTGTTCAACAAGAAATAGCTGCCAGACAGAAGACGTGCGACGGTGGGTCGTTGCCATAACCGAATCAGTGACTACGACGGTGGCGGCAAGGAAATAAGCAAAGCAATATGTACTAACATATGTGTATTTATGTATGTACATAGATAAGGTTTAAAAAAGAAAATTAAACAAGCGATTACCGGCATTGGCAAACGACGGTGGGAGAAACACTCGCTCGGTCTCCGGCACTCTGACACTGACAGTATTCGCACACTTGAATTAGCAAAACTCTGGGTAGCTCTCGGGACGCAAACATGGGCACAGCCTGCACGAATACACACAAATGGATACATACTATATACTCCATATGTAAATTGCATATAGTAGTAATATAT